GATGATCACCTGTCTGGGGTCTTGTGAAGCCAGCATTAATTTCTGCGTGTGGTAGGGGGTCAGGCTAGATGATCTGTTCAGGTCCTTCCTGACCCTAGCTACTATGAAACTGAGTCATTGCACAGTGTTTGAGGTGCTTCTGAACTGGGAACCTGCCCCATCAGCTTGGTTTTTCTTTTATAATCTCAGCTCCGGTGAGTTGTGCCCTGAGCAGAACATAAAATCAGTAGTAACTGTGTAGCATTCAACCTGGCTGCAAAGGAGATGGAGACTGAGTGTCCAGTCAGTGCCTCTTGACTAGCTTATGAGCTTTTTCTTGGTCTCTTGTGCAGAAGTCCAAAAACCATTCCAATCAGGATGCAGAGGAGAAACAGAACATCCAAGCCACCTGTGTGGAGATTCTGGAAAATCTGGATGTCTCAATCAGTGACATGAGCCAAGTAGGTGACCAGTTGCTGCCCTTGCATTGTCAATGCGTTTCTCTTATCCCATGTACCTTGCCACTGGGCAGTTCTCTGCATTGGCAGGGTAATGGAGATAGATCATGGCCAATGCTGGCCGTGAATTGTGGAGGAGGCTGCCGCCATTCAAGGAATAACGTACAACACCCCAACTGGAAGGAACCCCTGTGCTGAGATGGCCTCCTCATTCTCTCTCTTTGCTCTTCTCAGTCTTCTCTGAAATTTAGACTTGTTTGGCCAGTGTTAGAACAGGGTTTCAGAGATCAGCTATTCCTGAGAGAAAGACATGAGACCATGGATAGGGGAAGGATCCTCAAAGAGGTGGGTCATTGTTGAAGAAGAGGAGACTGTCCTTGAGGACTGGATGAAGAGAGCTGGGTGCAGCGGCAAGTCCAAGCTGTCTGGCTCTTCTCTCCAGGTCTTATGGCCCTGACTGCTGGAGTACATGGTGCCAACTCAGTACAGCTGCACTCTGAGCCTCCTGTGCTGATGCCTCGGGGACCTGGCCAAGCAACCACAGTGGGAGGGAGAAGAAGCGGCTTGCATGGACCCCAGCAAAGGAGGTTTGGAATCCAGATCCCTGTAGGATGAACCAGCTCCAACTGCCTCTTAGGAAATCTTCAGGCTCTTCCATTCTTTATGAGGAGGCCCAAAGGTGGGAGGGACAGTTGGGTCATTACAACCTGGGAGGGGGAGCCAGGCAGTGTGGGCTCCACCAACCCAGAGCTGCCCCAGATGTATACTGCTAGGGCCTTTTTGCCTCACCTTCCCCACTCATCCAGTGATGACTGAGCAGTCTCTGCCTCACAGAGGGGCTGGGAGTGAAAGATGGTAAAGCTTCTTGAGATTCAGACATGGAAGGTGCCATGAAAGAGCCAGTTGTGTCCAGCTCCTAGAGCGTACATGGGCGGACGCATTGGGAATGGACAGGCTTGTAGCAGCATCACCCCTGTTCCAAAGTAGTCACACATGGCCATGCTCTCTTTCTCTTTCCAGCCAAACTTCCTAAGGCCCAGGGGCTGCTGGCTTGACTCCTGGTGAGTAGCCCTGGAAAGGTACCTTCCAGAGGTGTGGGGAGGGTCAGTGGTGTGGGGGACACATGCCTGTAGCCTTAGCTGGAGGAGCATGCTCTGTCTCTTCCCACACTCAGAGCTCCCCTATGCTGGAAGAGTTCCCTTCCCTTTGCAGAGCAGAGCCAGGCTCTGCCCCTGCCTGGCAGCCTGTGGAGAGTTGTGCAGGATCAGCCAAGCACAGCACATCAGCCAACGTCTAATTGCTGAATGCTCTGGCCATGTATGGTGGAGTCCAGTTTCCTTCCTAAAGAAAGCCATGGAGCCCCCCTCTGGAGCTGAGCCTCTGTTTCTCTCTCACTGTTAGGTGGTTTCCTCGGCCCTGGGTGACAGCAGCCACACACATTCTGCCCTGTGGGGACTGTGGGCTCTGCACCACACAATCCACCCTGCAGTTGGAGAGCAGTGGAGGATCAAGATTCCCATCCTGCTCATGACCATTGAAGGTAACAAGCAAGAAAGGAGCACAGTGATCTCTGTAGAGTGATCTCTGCAGAACGGAAGGGAAGAGGGGAGGTTGCAGCCTCTTGGTCCCCCCCTACCCCGTGGTACCATTCCCTTTCTGCAGTGTTGCATTCTTGAGAGCTTCTACTCTTTGTCACAGGGGCAAATCCAGGGGCTTGACAACATAGAGGTTGATGGGACCCAGGGCAGGGTTTGCCTGTGAAGGGCTCCACCAGGGCAACCGCTCTCCTGCAGTTCCCTGCACACTTGGGAGGTTTCTGTTGCCAAAGAAAAACTCTGTGCACTTTGCTCTTCTATGAAGCCCAGTCCTGTACTGTGCTGTGTGGTGGAAGCACCTGCTGCTGAAGGTACAGGATGAATCTCAGAGCTGTTGTTGCAGCCAGCCAAACTGGGTAGGGGTGTCTGGGAAAGGAGGGTTCTCTCATGCCTCAGGGAAATGAGGTGATAAAAATCAGTAACTCAGCAAGAGTCCAGCTTGGGAGGTTTGCTAGTCTCCCTGAGTTTGGATTAACATCCAGAGTTGTCCATTTGGGATCATCCAGCCTTTCCGTGCAGTCTTTGAGCTCAAGAAATGGAAGGAGTTGAGGCCTTGGTGGGGGGAATTCTGCAATTCCCAGGTCCTATCACAATGCAAGCCCAACAGAGCCAAACACTGAAGTCCCTGGCAGTTGGAGGTGCCAGTTGTAGAGCCCATGGCACCTTCCTGACTTGATCCATCCTCCCTCCTCCCTCTGCACAATCTCTCTCCAGTGGACAGGTTTCTTGGCACAATCTCCTCCAAATTTTCTGTCCACTGGTGTCGAGGGTTGTGAAGGATCCTTGGGCAGAGAAGAGGAGGGGAGAACAAGAAGCAGGAAGATCTTAGGGTGTCCACCTGTAGAATTCTCCAAAGATGTCATCTCCCTGTGAGACTTGGGTGCTAGAAATGGCACAGCAGAGGAGGAGGACACAGACTCAGTCCATGCACCCAACCCTTTGCTTCCCTTCACTTGTGCCCTCAGTTCCTGAACATGACACTGAAGACCATTGATGATGATGCCTGGAGCAGTAAGCTGAGCCTGGAGCTGCAACATTGAATGGACAGTTATGCCTGCTTCTCCCCAGAGAAGGTGCATGTTCTTGGCAATGGCTGGGTTTCTGCAGCTGTTTCATGGTGCTGTGGCAGGAAGGCTGCAGAGAGTTTCTCTCCAGAGTTTATGCTTTTCTGTTCTATTTTCGTGATCAAAGGCATTGTCTTTGGTTCTCTGCTCTCTTCACTGACCCAAAGGGAGCTGCTTAGAGGGGCTCTTTCTCTGTCTTTAGCTGCCATTTCCCTGCAGAGAGTGGGGCCAGTTATTGGGTGTGTGGCTGCTGGGCCTGGACTCTCTTGGTCCTTCCTAGGGGCAGGTGTGTTTCTGGGCTGTTCTTGTCCTGACCAGCAGGCTGCTGTGTTCCCAGCTCTTTGGTGATGTTGGTCTCCTTCTTTCAGAGTTTCCTATACAAGTTTCCTGTTCTCTCTGCATTTCATTCCTGATCTTTACATTCTGGACCTTGGTTCTTCTCTGTTCCTCATCCCCATTTCCTTGTTGTTCCCCCATGGAATTCAGGACCTGGACTTAAAGCTGACCCTGATCTGGTCAGTCACTGAGATCAGCCATGCAATCTAGGATGCAGATGACTCCCAGAGCTTCCAGTTCACTTACAAAGAGGAGCTCCTGGGCTACATGCTGGTGAGTGGGGAGGAGCCTGGGGACCAAACTGCAAAGGACCTGGTGGGAACCTAATGGGACTGGTTTCCCTGGGAGTGGCTGATTTGTCCCTTGGCTGTGATGGGATTATTGGAGCCACATGAGGGGTCTGCTTGGGGCCCAGAAAGTTGGTACCACTCAAAGCTTTCTAGGCAATGCTGCATTGTGGGCTGCTCTTGGAGGTCCAGGCTGTGCCTGGTGAGTGACTGGGATACAGTTTTGTGCACTCTCCACTGATGCCATTGACCTGAGCAGGATTCTGGGGCAGTGGCTAGCACAGCCCTGGCTCAGTTTATGGCCCACCTGGGAGGGCAGCCTGCTGGGTTTGTGGGGGGGTTGCTCTTTGCTTTCCATGTTCATTTCCCCTGTGTCATGGCTGTTTCTGCCTTTTAGGACTTCATGAAAGAGGAACCAATGTATTCCTTAGCCTCTCCTGTTCTCCTCAGGGCCATGCTTGCCATTAAGCACCTGAGGTAGGGGAGGCCGGCCCGCGCCCGGCCCACCCGGATGCCCTGGTCAGAGATGAGCTCCTTCCTTAACTCTCTGTTGTTCGTCCTGTCAGATCTCGAGCTGAGAGACACCTGCAGGGCTCAGGTCACAGGCTGCTCCCTGCAGCTGCCGTCAGAGGGTTTGAATGTGTTTGATCTGCTTGGAGATTTGGACTTGAAAGACTTGGTTGTGGTGGGTGTGGGATAACTAAGAGTGATGGGGAGTGCAAGGTGCTTCTCAGCTGCCAAGTCCGGGGTGGGGGGTTGGATTTTGGGTTCTAGGTTCAGATCAGATCTTAGCAATAGACCCACTTTCCCTTGGGAGTGGCAGTCAGTGTGACCGAGGGCTTTTCTTTCTCTCCTTCTGCCAGCAAGGTGAAACCCTCACTGAATCTGGATAAAAACAGAAACATCCTTGATGACTGTGTCAAGTGTCTGTTGCCTCTTCCAGCTGTGCAGCAGCTGAAGGAGGAGGGTGAGATGGCTCAAGACTTTTTCCAAATACAGGTACACCTAAACAGCTGTCTTCTGGCATCACCTGCTGGGACCTGCTCCTCAGCCTGCTCTGGGTCCTGGCAGTCGCCCCTGGCCTCCCTAGAATAGTTCTGGGTTTTGTGACATGCTCCAGCTGGCCCTGAGCTTCCCTCTTGTATCTCCTGCTTGCAGTCATTGCACGAGTTGTCCATGCAGGACTTGGGTGAACTCATGAGGGGCCTCCTTGATGAAGACCCCACTGACAGTTGGTTCATGGAGATGTTCCATGTGAGTAGCCAGCAGGAGCAGGCAGAGCTCTCTTCTCTGGGGGAGGTGGGAATGGGCCAAAGAAACAGGGAGGAAGGTTTCCCTCAGCAGGGCAAATGAGAGGGGAGTTTCCCAAGGTGTCCTTGGGGCAATGGACAGTAATTCCCTTACATCCCATTGACATCCCTAGTAGCTGCACCATCTTGTGCCAGGGTCACTCAACAGCTCCTCTGGCTTATGGGGAATTAAAGTGTGCCTCAGATGTATCCAGATGATAAAAGAATCAGATTGCTTGGAGGGATTTCAGTGACGATGGTGATGTCTGCTGTTGAAATGGTTCCTCTGAGCTGTGTTAAAGGTTCCTCTGACAGTGGTTTGCTCTCCCAACAGCTTCATTAGCCATGGTTCTTCTCTGACAAGGAGTGGGATAGGGTCTTGCAGGCCAGCTCCCAGCTGCTTGTTGCCTATCGGGAGACAGTCTTGTTGCAGAGTAAGTATGGTCTAACTCTGTCTTGCCTTGATTTCCTCATGGCAGCCTCACCCCGAGATGCAGAAAGCCTCCCTAGGAGACAGGGTTCCACACGGATGCATTCCTGTTTTCACCTTCTCAGGTTCATAAACTTGAATATCACTCTGGCCAGACCCAGGCACATGTCATTCATTTCTTTCTCTTTTTTTCTCAATTGCTTTTGAGCAATTTGGGTCCCTGCTGGGGCTGCTGGCACCCTACACCTGCACCTCTCTGGCCACATCCCACCCGTGGGCCTCTGAGTGCATTGCCTGCCCTCTCCACCTACAAGGTGAGGGCACCCTGAGTAGGTGCAAGTGACTCTACCCCTTTTCTCCCTCTGGTAATGCCTAATCCTCTCTGTCCATTCGCTGCTAGTCTAGTGACACCTCAAAAGCACTTCAAATGGGCCACAACTGGTCCTTGGAAGATATCCTCCTAGGAGAGAAGAGTTGCATGGTGTGAAGGGCCTGGCCGTCTTTTGGGAAGTGTGAAAAGAAGCCCCCCAAGCAAGAATGGGGAGAAGCTTGTAGCAGTTCTGATCCCACTGCACCTCTGACCCCACTGAAGTCACTCAGACCTCAGCCATCACCCTTGGACCATGACATTGCACATGGCTCCTCCATGGAGCCAAGGTTCTGTTTCAGAGATCATTACAGCACTTTTTCCTCCTTATTTTCATTCCAGACCAGTCCATGACCATGGATACAGTGGAGGAGGAGCTGAATGGTCTTCATGAGGAGCTCAAAGCTTCCAGCCCTGAGGCTGTGCTTATAGCATCCTCCCACATGGCTAAGATCAGTGGCTCAAGAAGCTGGTGTGGAGATGCTAGGAACTGGGTGTCCTTCATTGTCCATTCCTTTGTTCACACATGGTTTATCTCTTTCTTTGGAGTGCATGGGGGAGGCATCTGGGACACTTATTGTTCATCCACTGTCTGCTGTTTACCCATGTCCATGGTAGAAAGAATAAGTCAGAGCAAGATTAGAAGGTTTTGTAGACAGTTCTGTCCCTGCACAGAAGAACAAACCTTTGTCAGTACAGCATCCAAGTGAGAGCCTCAGCCAGGACTTGATCTCTTTGTGTGCCTGTTTTAACTTATCCTGGGGTGCAGCTTGGCTGTGTTCATGTGTTGTCAAATGATGTTCTCTCCATTGAAGATTGGTGGAACGTTCAAGCACAGGATTCACCTCTTGAACATGCACCAAGTCGCTATAGGGCAGAAGATTATTCACAGCACAACTCTTTAATATCGCTCTTGAATTCTGAGGTTCAGTGCATTTTCCCTTCTTTCCATTTGTCTCCAGGTCATTGGTAAATACTTTCCATCCAACCAGGCCCTCAACTTTGTGGGGAGCATAATGGATGGCATGCTGTCTACCAGCCCCGCATGTGCCACAGCAACAGGACATTGGTTCATTACAATCCTTAGGGAGCATGGAGATGCCCTTCTGGATGAGATAAAATTGAAGCTGAGGAGGCTTTCTGCATTTGCTTTATGCTTTTCAAGCACTGCTTTCATGTGGAGTGAACAGGACTGTTGATCCCTGGACACAAAGCAAGTTCCATTTCCCTTACTAGCCAGAGATGGGGAAGAGCAGATCAGCTGCATCTAAGAGAAAGAGCACAGGAAGGCAAGATAGGGATTCAGTGACCTAGGTTATTGATAAGAGCTTTCAGGCTTGGAAGGTTTGGAAACAGAATCTGGGGCAAATACAGCAGGAGAGGGCAACAAGGAGTTCAAGGCACCTGGCTGTGGATGGGCTGGAACACCATGCTTAGGCATGAGGAATGGATGCATGCTTCCCTCAGTGCCACACCATGCATGGGGTCCATGGCAAGGCAAGGAGCTAGAGGTCGTTAGGTGTCCTCAGGCATTTCCCAGCCTTGGTAGAGCCTATGTGAAATGCACTTTGCATCCTGCTCTTTTCCACGGGGTTGGGTCAGGGCACAGGAAAGAATGGGTGCCAGAAATACTGTAGGCTCTCCCCTCTCCCTGTTTTGGATGGGACTGGCTATGGGCAGATAGACCTACTGCCCCGCAGGCCTGACCGTGTGCAGAATGGGGAGGTGTAGTTAGAAATGAGGAGTGTGAACTCCAGTGTGCAGTTCCAGCACAGATGGTCTCACCTGAAAAAATTACAGTTACACTCATCTTGCTCGTGGTCCCAGGGATTCTCACAGCGGTTCCGAAGTTGGTGGTTCTTGTTGGTCCTGAGCTGCGCATCCACATAGGCAAAAGGCCAAAACTAGCTTCTTAAAATCACCCCCAGATATTGATATTTGCTAGGGTGTTTGTGCGAGCATGCAGTTTAATATCAGGCAGAAATAGGTCCTGGGTGGCGCATGCAATTAGATTGTAGGTATGTGCACATGGGTGGGGGAATGGCTGAGGGTGTGTGGGCTGGTTGGTGTCTGTGCATATTTTGTGGTGTCCACTTTCACCCCCAGTAGGGGCATAGGGACATGCTCACTTAGGATCAGCTGGAGGCAACAGTGTCTGGACATTGAGGGACTTTAACTTCCCAGACATCTGCTGGGAGAAGCAGGCAGCCAGGTCTGCCCGTTCACATATGTCTTTAACCTCCTTACAGGACCTTCACCTATCGCAGGGGGTATGCGTCCCCACCAGGGGTAATGCCTTGCTAGACTTGGTACTGGCCACGGGGTGACTTGATGGGAGATATGCAGGTGCAAGGTAACCTAGGGGATAGTGACCACCTATTGATAGAGTTCACTATCTGGCAAAAGGTGGGGAAGATAACTAGTAGGGCAGAAGTGCTGGATTTCAGGAAGGCCAACTTTGGTAAACTCGGGAAATTAGTTAGGGAGGGACTGACTGGTAATAGCCTTGCAGAGATGGGGGTCCAGGAACCGTGGGTGTTTCTCAAGGGACTAATCCTGCAGGCGCAAAAAAAGACTATCCCAGTCCACATAAAGCGGGGGTAAAAAAGCAAAGAAACCCTCTTGGCTGAGCAGGGAAATCTGGGAGAGCCTGGTGAGGGGAAAAAAGTGGCCTATAGGCTGTGGAAGCAGGGAGCAGTCACCAAGGAGGAGTTCACCTGCTTGGCTTGAGCCTGCAGGGAAGCGGTGAGGAAAGCCAAAGCGGAGACAGAGCTTAAGCTGGTGACAAAAGCCAAGGATAACAAAAAGTCACTTTTTAAGTACATAGGCAGCAAAAAGAAAGTGCAGGATTACTTAGGACCCCTTCAAGATGAACAAGGACAACTGGTAACAGATAGGATGGCTAAAGCAGAGATTCTAAATGAATTCTTTGCATCTGTATTCCTGGATGCGAATACGAATACGCATCCCATTAGGACTTTAGACAAGCCCAGGATAGATACCAATCCACCAGTGGTTTATGCAGACCTAGTAAGGGGGCATCTGGAGGGGCTGAATGTGTTTAAGTCAACAGGCCCTGATGATATTCACCCTAGGGTACTTAGGGAATTAGCTGGAGTCATAGCGGACCTGCTGGCACAACTGTTTGAGCACTCATGGTGCTCAGGACAAGTCCCAGAGGATTGGAAAAGGGCCAATGTTGTCCCTATTTTCAAGAAGGGGAGGAAGGAGGAAGCAGGTAACTACAGGCTGGTTAGCCTCACCCCTATTCTTGGCAAGACCTTTGAGAAAATAGTTAAAGATCATATTTGCAGGGGACCAGTGGGTAAAGTAATGCTAAGAGGCAATCAGCATGGGTTCATAGCAGGCCGATCCTGCCTGACGAACCTAGTTTCATTTTACGACTGAGTCACAAAATACTTGGATGAGGGAACAGATGTAGATGTTGTTTACCTAGACTTTAAAAAGGCCTTTGACACAGTGTCACACCCAATTCTTATAAATAAACTAAAAAAGCTGTAATGTAGATTATTACACAGTCCTGTGGGTGGAAAATTGGCTTATGGGATGCACCTTGAGTGTGGTGGTAGATGGGTCGGTTTCTACCTGGAGAAATGTAGGCAGTGGAGTCCCCCAAGGCCCTGTCCTGGGACTGGTACTATTCAATATTTTCATTAGTGGCTTGGATGAGGGAGTACTAAGCACCCTGTCCAAGTTTGCTGATGACACAAAACTATGGGGGAAGGTGAACACACTAGAGGGCAGGGAGCAAATCCAAGTAGATTTGGACAGGCTGGGGAGGTGGGCAGAACAGAATAGGATGACGTTTAACAAGGATATGTGTCGTGTTGCATCTGGGGAGGAAGAATCGTCAGCATTCCTATAGTCTGGGAGGGACCATTCTAAGCAGCACAACTGTAGAAAGGGACCTCAGAGTCATAATCAACTCCAAAATGAACATGAGTCACCAATGTGATGAGGTAATAAGTAAAGCTAACCGCACTCTTCCTTGCATAAGTAGGTGCATCACTAACAGGTCTAGGGAGGTGATACTTCTCCTCTATGCAGCATTGGTCAGACCGCAGCTGGAGTACTGCGTCCAGTTTTGGTTGCCGCTCTTCAGAAGGGATGTGGATAACCTGGAAAGGGTTCAGAGGAGGGCCACCCATCTGGGTAAAGGCCTACAGAAAAAACCCTATGTGGACCGATTTGGGAGACCTGAACCTCTTTAGCCCCCACAAGAGGAGGCTTAGAGGTGATCTTGTGGCTGCCTACAAACTCACTGGGGGGGGTCAGCAGGAATTGGGGAATACGATGTTTATCAGGGCGGCAGTCAGGGTAACTAGAAACAATGGACACAAATTAAAAGAGAGCAAATTCAGGCTGGACATCAGGAAAAAGTTCTTTACAGTGAGGGTCACCAAAATATGGAGTAGGCTTCCAAGGGAGGTGGTGTTGTCCCCTTCCTTGGAAATATTCAAAAGGAGATTGGACAGACACCTGTCTGGGGTCATCTGACCCCAGTGCTCTTTGCTGCCCAGGGCAGGGGGTTGGACTCAATGATCTAATAGATCCCTTCCAACCCTAATAACTATGAAACTATGAATTGGCCCCTTAAAGCAAGAAATTTCTAAGATGGCAGCAAATTGCCAAACTATGGGAGGGATTGGTTTGGATTGTGCTGGCTGAAATGAGAAAGAGGCCCTTGTTCTTGTTATCTGCCCTCCAGGTTCCGGACATCCTGGGCACCATTTTTATCCAGGTGCCAGCAATCCAGGAAAGGTCTATGAGAGGCTTCCTGATGGAAGGTGTTTCCATTCTTGCTGGCTTCTGTCTAGCGGTAGTGACCAGCAGCCTCCTTAGAAAGCCTCTGCCAATGGATAGGCCCTTACCACTCCCTACCTCTTATGCCTGGTGGCACACACAGATCCCATAGCCTGGCAAAGCCCATGGAGTTTCAAGTCAGCTGCAGATCCTTTGGGATGACTTGGTAAGAGTCAATGTCCTAGTGTGTTTGCATAGGAAATGCCAGGCTCATGCCTAATGGCATTGGCAGATGACATTACTGTGCCCCAACCCAGTCCTAGACGAGGACAGCCCTTGGCCTTTGCTTCAATGTCCTATTGCTTCATGACATCACAGGAGTATCTGCAGCTCATATGTAATTTATGTTAAATTGTGACACCTCTGAGCTCTGGAGGGCCTTAGGTGTAGATGATTTCTTCACACTCCATATACTATGTTTGCTCATGAGCAAGATTCAGTATCCAGCTGGCATAGACAGGAGCTCAGCTGAGGATACCACGGCCCTTGGACAGCCCAGGCCCAGCTCTGTTGGTTCCCCTTTGAGGGCTAGAATCCTGGTTCTCGAGAGCTTGAGGTAGGACGTCAGGCTGTGGGGCAAGTTTTTCTCCCCTGCTCTCCTGTCCCCACTCTTCCATCAGCAGCAGAAAATAGTAGCTTCATGCTACATGACTGACTGACTCCATGAAACTTTGGAACTAGAAACTCCTGTAACCAAGAGGCTCCTGCTTTGCAGCTCTCTGTTCAGGCTGCTGGTGCCCATGAAGTGCAGGGATGTGATTGGGAAGGGATGTGACTGGGAAGGGAGCCAAGTGGTAAGGAAGCTGCTGCTAAAGCTCTTCTGTGCTCTCCTGGATGTGAGGACGAGACCTTTAGACTTGGAGTTATGGATTTCCAGGTGTCTTCCCCAGGCTGACTCTCTTCTTCTCTATATCTTCAGGCAATATGTGCATCTTTGGAGATGCTTACCACCATCCATTCCAGCCCAGTACTGAGGGAGCTACTCCCAGAGATCCTCTGTGCTCTTCTGGAGCAAGTTATCCTCACTGTGGGGCAGGACTTGCCAATGCCCACAGGGAGCATCTGGCAGAGGCATCTGCAGAAGGGGCAGCTGTGAGCAGTGGGCAACCCTTGCAGGTAAGGAGTAGACTATGCCTGCTTTCACAGGTTTGGCCTCACTTCAGGCTAGCTGCCTGTAGGTTCTTGTCCTTGTGCTGAGCTGTCTTGGTCCTGGCAGCTGAAAGAAGTGGGGGGATGTCTGAGAAGGGCAGAGTTTGAAATGTTAACACTGGGAGGGCCTATTTGATCCTCCAACCTGAGCTCCTCTGGGATACTCCAGGCAGTTTCAGCCCAGGGGCTTCACAGTCTCCATTAGTCATGAGCACACGCTGGGCTTCCAGTGCTTGGGCCCTGGGCACATGACTTCTGCATCTTCCCATGCTCTACATGTGGCCTTTGTCCTTGTAGGGAGAGAAAAATGGCTGCCCAATTCTTTCTGTAGTGCATTTGGCTTGGGAGAGCCTCCATGCATCCCGTCTGGCTTCCAGCACTGATTTGTGCAAGGCTCTTCCCTCCCTGTCCTTGTCAGGGGATTGCAAAGTGTGAGAGAGAATGGCAGCATCGGTCTGATCTGAGCTGCCTGCCTTGCGCAGCATGTGTCTGAGTAATGGACCTCCCGAGTGACAGGGAGTTTTGGTTCTGCTCTGGCTGCAGCATCTTGTTACAGTCTGTAAATCTGCGCCTTCTCTCTCCCTAGGCTTTCAGTGGAGTTCCTGGCCTGTGCTATAACTAAGGGCCTTGGGGAGAGAGTGGCTGCAGCCCTCTGTGATGGGAGAAATTGGCCACTCCTTGAGAGCCCCCAGATACACCATGACGGGATGTGCCAGCTAGCCAGGTAAGAGAGGCAGTCTGGATTTATCTGTGCTCTAGGCAGTGGGATGAGTGGTGGAGGGGGAACTTTCTGTGTTGAACCTGCAGGGTTGTGTGGGGCTTGAGATGTGGAGCTTGTGCTCCAAGAGATGAGAGCTGCTGCCTCAGAGGAACTGAGTGTTGGCAGTGCCCAGCCAGTCCCAGAACTAGTGGTTTTCTCTTGCAGGGCTCTGCTCCCATTGGGTATAATAATGCCCGAATTCATAGGGCAGGTCCTGCAGCGGGTCAGTTCCACAACTGAAAAGCTGAGTGTTACTGGTATGGCCTTCATCAGCCAGGTAAGGCCCCATAGAGAATGAACAGTTTGATGAAAAAGTGGCTGCTTGCTGTGCTCTTTCCCTGGGGAGTCCCCTGGTCCCCTTCCTAGGAGGGAGGATCACTGGAGGCAGCTGAGAGGTTTCTCTTCTGTCCTTGCCCCTGCATTGCCACTTCTGCCGTATGTGAAGGAGAGGCAGACAAGGATTTCCTTACTGACCTGCCCCTACTGAGCCCTTGTCTTAGCCAGCAGCTGTGAGTTTGGTTCTAATTAGTGCATCTTTTATATCCATCCAGCATCTCAGGAAGACACTACCCTAAAGCAAGCAATGTCCCAATCTTAGTTTCATAGTTTCTAGAGTTGGAAGGGACCTGAACAGATCATCAAGTCCAACCCCCTGCTCTGGGCAGGAATGAGTGCTGGGATCATAATACCCCAGGCAGATATCTATCCAATCTCCTCTTGAAGACCTCCAAGGTAGGGGAGAGCAACACCTTCCTTGGGAGCCCATTCCAGAGCACGACAGCCCTAACTATGAAGTAATGCCTCCTGATATCAAGCCTGAACCCTACTCTCAATCAATTTGTGGCCATTATTCCTTGTTATCCCAGGTGGTGCCCAGGGAAACAGAGCCTCACCTATTTTCTGCTGGTCCCCCTGGTGACTTTATAGACAGCCACCAGAACCCCTCTCAGTCTTCTCTTGTGGAGGCTGAATAGATTCAGGCTGTTTAGTCTATCTTCATAGGGCCTGGCCTGCTGCCCTCTGACCATGTGAGTGGCTCTCCTCTGGACCCTCTCAATGCTAGCCACATCCCTCTTGAAGTGCAGCGCCCAGAACTGGACGTAGTACTCCAGCTGTGGCCTGACCAGTGCCACACAGAAGGGAAGGATCTATGCTTGTGATGCATCTGTAGATGCACGACAAGGTGCCTTACTGACTGCTTCCTTGCATTGGCAGTTCATGTCCATCCTGGAGTCAACAATGACTCCAAGATCCCTTTCAACCACTGTGTTGTTGAGAAGGGTGTTCCCCAGCCTATAGGTATGTTGCTGGTTCCTCCTTTCTGAGTCTGGCCATCGAGCCAATTTGCCACTCATCTGACAATGTAGGCCTCAATGGCACAGCCACCTACTTTTTTTATGAGCATGGAGAGAGAAACAGTGTCAAAGGCCTTCCTGAAGCCCAGGTAGACAACATCCACCTCAACACCCGCATCCAAGGACTTTCTGACCTGGTCGTAAAAGGAAACAAGGTTAGTCAGGCAAGATCTGCCCACAATGAACCTGTGTTGGTTGCCCCTGAGCATTACCTCCCATGCTGGGTCCCTGCAGATGTGCTCCTTGATAATTTTCTCAGAGGTCTTCCCAAGGACCAAGGTGAGACTAAGTGGCCTATAGTTACCCGGGTCCACCTTTCTCCTCTTCTTGTAAATGGGGACCACGCTGGACCTTTTCCAGTCCTCTGGGACCTGGCCAGAGCACCACGAGTGCTCATACAGCCGTGCCAGGGGCCCTGCTATGACCTCTGCCAATTTCCTCCGTACCCTTGGATGAAGAGCATCCGGACCTGCTGATTTAAACACGTCCAGCCCATCCAGAAGCTCCCTAACTACATCATCCCTGACCCTTGGCATGGTGTTGTCCCCTGAACCTGTCCGTAATCCGTGCGGGGGAGTTGTCCTGGTCCCTGCTCAGAAATATGGAGGCAAAGAACTCGTTGAAGCGATCAGCGTTTTCCTTTGCTGCAATCATCAGATTGCCAAGCCTGTCCTGTAGGAGCCCCACGTTACCTGGTGCCTTCTTCTTACTCCCTATGTATTTGAAAAAGGGATTTTTGTTACCCTTAATTCTGGTCTCCAGCCCTAGTTCTATCTCTGACTTGGCCTTCCTAACCGCCTCCCTGCAATCATGAGCAATGGAGGTGTAATTCTCCTTGGTGATAGCCCCTTGCTTCCACTGATTTGTATGCCACCTTTTTGCCCTCAGGCCCTCCTGGATGTCTTTGCTATAAAGCCCCCTTGGCTCGCACTCCTACCCACTTTGGTCCGTGTTGTGACTGACTCCCTCTGAGCTCGGAGGATCATCTCCTTAAGGAACAACCACCCATCCTGGACTCCCATCTCATTGAAGCTCCAAGTCCTCAATGTCTTTCTTACTAAACTCCTTAGCTCATTGAAGTCATTTGTGCCTACCAGTGCTCAAATCATGTGGGAGGGCATGCATGCACTGGCCAATGTCTTGAATCATCTAGGGACAGATGCAGAGCCCCTGGTTTGGGATGTAGTCACACACATCAGGCCCTTCTTCAACTATGTAAGAGAGCAGCACTCCCCACCCCCATTCCAATGCTCATTTGGGGCCATTTCAGAGATGGGAGATGCACTTGCTGCCCCTTGTTCCAGTCCAAAGTGGAAGATTTTAAGTTCTGTGGAAGAGATGAGTTTTCAGGAGAAAAAGCAAGTGAAGAGGATGTGATAACAGATGGGCCTTGTAGACAAAGGGGGATTCTCAGAAGACTGGGTGAGGCTGCAGGTAGGGTCATGGGATCTGGGGCTGTTCTCTGCCATGTTGATTCTCTTGAGTCAGAAGCAGAGCTGGGCAAAGACAAGCGACCTCAGGGGCTGGGGGATTTGGTTTTTGCTGGGATTCAGAATCAGAGCCCCTAGTGATGGCACGTTCAGGGAACGTGGCTTGCTGCTGCTCCCCAAGCTCTCTTGAGTGCCCTGGCTCCCAGGTAGCCCACCTGGATCAGGAACTGTTAGAGCCCACCTCCCTGGCAGACCATCTGGCAGGCTGGAAACCAAAGGCTCCTGTCAGGAGCTGTGCCAGGCCCATGAGAGAGGTTTGGCTGCGACCACGCTGGGGTTTCTTGGCCACAGGACAATGACAATCTTTGCTCAATGGCTTTCGCCCTCTTTGGTGCCCTGGCAGGCTGCATAAAGAGAAGAAGGCAAGCCTATTATAGGAGCCAGGTGAGGCAGATCTTGGCAACGCTTCTGTTTCACCTGGAAGACCTGAACCTGCAGGTGGCCAAGGTAAGAACCAGTGATACCGATTTCCTCAGCCCCGCCAGGTCTCCTCAGTCCATCCCCAGGGGCACTCTGACCTTCCTGTGTCCTGTGGTGACCATCCCCTTCCCACTGAGGCAGTTTCATCCAGGCACCTCCTTGAGCTCCAGGGCAGGTTGCACATCTGACCCTCCTCTGCATGCAGGAAATATCTCTGCATGGCTTTACTGAGGGGGAGACAGG